GAATTGTAAGGAACCGTCACGCAAATCAAATTGAAGCCCATTGTACAGAATAACTGGTTTGTAATCTAAAGGAAAAAAAATCTAGTTCATGAGATTATTAAAAGACTGAGGACCTGATCTAGATTAAAGAAGACTAAAGAGATATGAATAAATAGTAAGCGCAATGTGTGAACTTGGGTCGGACACTGGGTCAGGGGAAAAAATAGCTATGAAATAGGACATTGTTGGAACTGTTGGTGAAATTTGCATATGAACTATGGATCAGATAATAATTTTAAATCCATGTTACACATATACATACACATATATACATCTACATACATATGTTTGTACATATTTATCCATGTACACTCTTGGGGACAGGCTGAAGCTGTAGATCAAAGCCGGAATTTCTTCTTCAGGCAAACTTCAGTTCTGCTCCTAAGGTCTTTCAACTAATTGAGTGAGTACCACCAAGATCATCTTGGAAAATCTTTACTTAAACTGATGATAAACTTTAATCATATCTGCAAAACACCTTCACAGCAATGTCTAGATTAGTATTTGACTGAAAAACTGGAGACTATAACCTTGCCACACTGTCACAAAAAAACTGACCATCACATAACCCCAGCATTTACCCCAGGGCCCTACCTGCTCAGTACATGTTTGTGAAGTGAAATGGCTCATTCCTAACCCAAGCACCATTTTCCCAGGCAAACCTCAGTGTCTGACCACAACCATTCCACTGTCAGCAGGTGGTTATCAAGCACAGTGCAGGGGATGATACCAAAGAGGCACGATTCTATGGATCCCCTGGTCTAGGGAGACAAAACACAGCCAGATGAGTGCAAGACAGTTTACAGGTGCATTCCCACTTGAATGTCTAAACCACCAAGTCCCTTTCATCTTCTTGTTACTAACTTTCTCAGGTTCCTCTTTTCTAGCTGTGACAGCCCCTTGACTGGAGTTCCTGTGTCTAGCTTGCTCCCCCTCCAGGTTGTCCTATGTCTGGGCTGTTGATGGAGTTGTCCTTGGACATGACTTTATAGTCATCTCCCTCCCTGCTTAAGAACCACAAGAGCCCCACATTAGCCAAGTCAAATCTAGACACCTCTGCCTGGCTTTCAGGCTCCCCATAACCTGACCCTCCCTCCCTGACAGCTGACATGACAGCTGTCTTCATATTGGTAAAGGGCTGTCAGAGAGAAGGATTAGTCTGATTCTGTGCTGCTCCAGCAGGCAGACAGAGATCATAGGTGGAAACTACAGGGAGACCTCGGTGCCTCAACAGAAAGAATTCTCCTTTGTGTTTAGTGTGTGAATGTGGGTTGCAGGGGTGGGTGGGGTAAGGGTTGTGTTACTGGAGCTCAGTGATGTAAGGAATATTGTGTGCAGCACCCACAGGACTTCTTCTCTACTTACCAGTCACAGGTGGCAGGAAATCACAAAATACTGCACATCCAGTTCCAACATCAATTGTGTGAAATTTCTGATAGTTTTGACAGACTATTGTTTACCAAGCCTCCTAAATCAATGAATGGAGACAACAGGAGGAATATTTGAGATTCTCAAGAAAATACGTGTTTGTTTTGAATGCCTCATGTTGGTGTGGAATGTTTGTGTTAGAGAGAGGGGTGGGAGCCAAATTATGTAAAGCCCTGTTGGCCATGGTGAGGAATTTGGCCACTGAAGCGGGGCAAGGACATGATCCTAGAATGGAAGCAGGAGACCATGAAGAACGAACTTTCTAACAGCAATGCACTCAGCAGCAATGTCACCAATGGCCTTGAGCAGCAGGCAGCTCCCAAACACAGGAGTGGGGATGAGGAAGCCCCTGTCAGGGATACTGCAGAGTGAAGTTGGACTCCAGGAGGTGTGCTGAGCAGGACGACTTCTAAGAATCCTCCTACCTCTGACATTCTCCCCAGGCCAGCCTCCCCTGCCCCAGCCTCAGAGCTCTAGCCCAGATCTCCACAGTGTCTGCCGAGAGGGGGTGCCAGACGGTCTCCCTACTCAGAACCTCCTTGGCAAACCCTACCCTGGTCTCCCTTTTGTCATTCGGATTCTTCATAGCCACAGCAATGCTCTTGATAATCATTACAAATGGCAACAAGCGACGGACAGAATAAGCTATTGTACATTCGTGTAATGGAATGTTGTGTAGCTATTTCCATTGAGGTGATGGAAGATTTAATGTGGAAAGATGAGCACCATGTACTACTATGTGAAAGAAGCTGGTTACAGTGAGACTTGAATTTTAAATATTAACCAAAAATACATAAAGAAAATACTGGCTGATGTGTACATCAAAATGTTGTCATGTTCTCTGGGTAATGGGATTGGAGTTATTTTCTTTTTATCTATTTTCCTAAATTTTCTAAAATTAGCATGATTTGACTGGTACCAGCTTTTATAAAAGTATTTTTTAATTCTGCCTTTCATCAGAGCCATCTCTTTCCCTGTAACTCTGACCTAAAGTCTCTAAATCTTTTCTGGTTGGTTTTGTATAATCCAGCATATGGTTGTAATCTGTCATGTGTTATTCTAAGATTGTTTCATTCATGTTAGTTTTGTCTCTACAATTAAGTTTTCTCTGGCTAAACTGGTTTAGTCCTGGATCCTTAAGGTACCACATGACTTACCTGGCTTTCCAGAGAGGACCTAGACTTGGGAATGCTCCCAACGCCCACAGCTCTCATGAGGCTGGAAGTGAAGCTTGGTTCCTGACCCAGGTATGCAGGAACCAAGAATGTTCAACCCTTTCACACTATTCTGCCTCTGTCTCCTCTGGTGATTGGATCCAGAGACCTGAAGAACCTAAGGGGCGTTCTGAATTCTAACCCAGCTGCCCTCCAGCAGCTAGGGCACACGTGGAGCCTGGAACGTGTGCATTCTTTTGCATTCTTTTCTCATTGTTTGTGAACAACATTAGAGCCAAGAATCCTTAGAGACTATCGTTCTTTCAGAAGTTACCCTGTATCCTGTTCTTGAGAAGTGGCCTCATTGCCACAGTGCCCACTGCACTCTGGATACCCTGCCAGCGCAGGAGCTTTGTCAAGCCCACCGCAGGGACAGATCTGCAGAGCCATCCCTTTGTTCTCCTGCCTCGTCTGTGCTGGGAGGCAGCTACTCTTACAGTTTGACTAGCAGACCCTCTCAAATGAGCTCTGCAATGATTTCAGCATGCTCTTTTTACTCCATAGGTGACTCCAGTGACCACAGTTTAGGACTGTTAACATCTCTCTTTCCCATCACTAAACCAGAGGGGCTGCATGGCTTCCTTAAATAAGGCTTAGAGTAGGAGACCCTGCTGTTTCCTTGATGGTTTTTTCTCAGGTGCATTCAGACTTGATTCTCCATAGATACTTGAAGGGCCATCAGGTGGAAGAAGGACAAGATTTATTCTGTAATGGATTTCTATTGCTTCTATAGCCCTAACATCACTCCAGTCTGGCACTTTCTCTGTCTCCCTTGCCACAGTCCTGGTCGAGACCACTGTGCAGCCATGCCTGCACGACTGACAGCCTCCTATCAGGTCTACCTGCCCGGCCGGTCTTGCTCCTCTAATCCTTTCCCAGAGAGCCTGAGTGCTGTTTAAATTGTGAATCTGATCATACCACACCTCTGCTTAAAACCCTGTAATGCCTCTGCACTGCCTTCAGGATAAGCTCTAAACTCCTTAGCATTGCTTTTAAGGCTCAGCTCCCGCTTAGCTCTCCAGGGGCATGCCTTGCCCGAGGAGTGTCAGCCCTACCAAATCCCTTGTGTGCTGACCCTGGACACTTCTTATTCTCCCGTGCCTCCAGATCTTTGTCTAGAACATTTCCCCTCCTCTCTTCACCTGGTTAGTTTATTTGCCTTCCAGGTGTCACCTCAGATGTCACTTCCTCCAGAACCTACCCCCAGTCACCCAAGGCCAGGGTGGGTATTCTTATGCGTGTTTCTCATCATTTTACCTTACAGGTGCCTATTTACATGTCTTCCTCTCCAGACAATAAGCTCCTTGAGGGATGGGATGGTTTTATTTATCACCATAAGCCCAACACCACTCAGTGTCTGACAGAGAGAAACTCAATAGTTATTCAGTGAATGAATGAATGTGTGAATGAATGAATGACATGATGTAACAAGGATGACAGCTGGGCCTTCTTGGAGGTAGATTTTCACTCTGTGCACTGAAAAACTTGCTAATAACTGGTGATATCCAAAAAAAAAAAAAAAAAAAAAAAGGGAACAGACCAAGCCACAAAGCAGTGAAAGTCCCATCCCTGCAAGTCTGCACACAGAGCCTACATAGCCCTTGGGAGGGGGCTTCTTCAGGAGACGGCAGGTGGGAGTGCATGCCCTTCGCTCATTGCCTATCTGCCGGGAGGCACAATTAGATTCACTTCTGAAGGCCAAAGATCTGGGCTGCGGCATCAGCTCTGCATTTGCTGTTAGAATGGGGGCAAGAGGCTGCCTCTCTGAGCTGTCCTTACCTGTGAAATAGAGATGATGTTTGCACTGCCTACTTCACAGGCTTTGTGAGAGCAAAACATAGTCACACACGCTAAAATACTTTGTAAAAGCCTTAAGGCCCAATGAAAGGTCTGATTATTTACCACATAATCCTTAGGTCTCGCAGCTTCACTAAATAACTTTTGTTCTGCAACTACATTAGAAAACAAAGTGCTGCGTGCCAAGCTTTACTTTGGCAGGCAGAGCTGAGAGAGCAGAGAGGTCTGCCTCTTCCGTGCCATGCCACTGTCCCCTAGAAAAGGCAAGAGTGGGCATCAAGAGCGCCTGTTTAGCTAGGATCTGTCATAGGCCTTTGTTCCTGCCATCAGGGAGACTCCTTGGAGCCTAATACTAAAAACAAGGGGAGTATGGCTCCAAAGTCTTGAGTCACTATGAAAATCAACAAGAACCCAGACCACAGACACACCTTCCTCTTGGGCCCCTTGACTGATGCTTAAAGTCAGAATACTTAAAAGCATTTCAAAATCTTCCCCATTGGCATAACAAAACCAATGAAACCATTTAATTTAAAGGCTTTTTATTAGGAACCAGGGGAAAGAGCTGCTTGTCCCTCTATAACAGTCTAGAGCAGGTCATCAGGCCCAGGATGGAGAGAGGTTAGCAAAGGTGCTGTGGTGTGCTTTGCTGCACTTGCTTAGGGCCTGGAAGGAAAGGTGGTGGCAACAGAGGCTGGCAGGAACTGGTGTTGACCAAAACACCAATAGCCTGGGGAGAACCCTCTACCTTCCTTCCACTTCCACTCAAGGCTGGATGGAGCATGCCAGGAGACAGAAAACGTGGCTGGAGCAGGCAGGACGCAGCAGTGCTGACCCCCTGGCTGTGTCGTGTGCTACTTCACTTCACTTGCCTGCCCTCCACTCTTCTTGCTGTTTGGTGATTAGGTATTTGAAGAACTCATACACAGACCATGCGATGGCTGTGGAGGGGATCTGGTAAATTACTCTGGCTTGTACCCCTCGAAAGTAGGCGGTCACACCACCTACTTGATACACCGTCCTGAAGGCACTAGCCATGCCTGTGATATGTCCTGTGATGTTTGAGTTCAAAGCCAGGGACTCCTGGGTGTTGAGCAGTGTTTTGCAAACGTCCAGTGGGGTTGTGGCAGCGGCAGCTACGGCTCCTGCACAGGCTCCAGAGAGAACATGGGAGCTGGGGTTGTACCGTCTCTGGGGGTTAAAGTGCTCCTGCAGGAATTCATACGTCATGAAGTGAATGGCTTGGAAGGGAACATTCATGGTTAGCTGGGTGGTGTAGCTACGATAAAAGGCGCCGGCCCCTTCATTTTGCCACACTGCCCGTACACAGTCTGTCACCCGGTGGTATGGGGAGTTGTACATCTGCATCCTCTGCTTGACCACTGGTGGTGCCATCCAGAAGGAGGAGGAAGGAAATGACGCCAGCAATCAAGTGGTGAACAAGTGTGTCCAGATTCAGAGTCCCAAGTCAGCAGGTCAGCCATTGGAATGGAGAGAGAGAAAAAAGTATGAGTGAGCTATCGGTCTAATAAGTTAAAGTTTCCCTTTTTTTGAGAGGAGGGGACAGGAGAAGGTTGATAAAGGGCCAAAAAAAACCCAGACCCACTTATAGTAGGGTTTCTTTAAAACCAACCAGTGAACACACAGGATATATCTCTGGTTTAGAAACTCCAGAGGGTTTCCTCGAATTAAGTACCTACCTATTATTATGATCTTACCCTTTCATAAAACCCAAGGGAAGAAATGACTCAGTGGTAGTGAACATGATAATGAACAGATAGCCCTAACAATCCCAATCCTCAGGTATGCAGAGCACCCAACTCTTACGACATGAGGATGGTTATCCTCCTCAGGAGAAGAAGGGCTACCAGAAAGAAAACACAGTTCTTAGCCAAGAAGACTGTGGCTTTAGTTTCCAAACATCTACTCCCTCGAGTAGATAACATGGTGTGAGATCTGGATCTTCAGCTTAGCTTTGCCCATAGCCCAGCTGATAGCACCATGGCCTTGCCCAGCCAGGTAAATATGAGCTGGAGCTTAAAGAGTATGGCAGCTCTACTATCCCTTCACGTTTGTTTGAGTACTTCATTCGCCAACTCAGAAGCCAAGATCCAAGCGGCCGTGCAGGAACTGAGTTCTATAATCTACCCTTTCACTCCTATTTCGACTATCTTTATTCTAACAAGAATGGCAAGATTTTTAAATGTCAAAATCCATCTTCACCTCTTTGAAGAAAAGTGAAATAATCTGTTAAATTTTCAGATGAGTTCGAATCCACTACAAAGAGGACTTCCAAGAAAGCCCAGGAATAGACCAAGAAGAGCCCTATCTTTTTTCAGAGAAGCCCCAAAGGTGAATTAAATCTCAATGAATGTGCTTCCTAAGGGGCTCCTCCTACCTACTGACAACATGGGGGGAGCGCCCCCTACTGGTAAGACAGGGTAACACAAAAGGATTTCCCCACCTACATGGTTGGAGGGCTCCCTGGCTTTCCTCCGCAAACCAGAAATAAAGGAAAAGCCCAGAGATGCAGGTGCAGTGGCCCACAGGGGAGAAGGAGGAGGAAGCATTACCTTCTGCTGGATTCATGGCTGCATCATGCAGTAATGTTGCTACACACCCGGCCGCACCTGCAAAGGAAAAAAACCATCGCCATACATGAGGCCAGGAGAGGGCAACTGATTAACTGAGGCACCAGAGTGAAGGGAGTGGCTGGGCTAACCAAGAGCAGGGAGAAGGAACCCCCTGCTCTCGAGCCCCTGTTCTGAGACATGAAGATATTCGTTCCCACCAGCTTAGTAAGGTCACCAATCTACAATCCTTACATATAATAGGAAGGCGAAAAGAGTCAAACCCAGATTTTATAAAGGCAGCTCTGAGAATGAATGCACTTTATGCCCCAGATAGGAAGAAGGTACACTGCAGGGGCGCCTAGGTGGCTCAGTTGGTTAAGCATCCAACTTTGGCTCAGGTCATGATCTCATAGTTCATGGGTTTGAGCGCCGCATTGGGCTCTGTGCTGACAGCTAGCTCAGAGCCTGGAGCCTGTTTCAAATTCTGTATCTCCCTCTCTCTCTCTAACCCTCCCCTGTTCACGCTCTCTCTCTCTCAGAAATAAATGAAACATTAAAATTTTTTTAAAAAGGAAGAAGGTACACTGCAGCCAAGGGATGCCAGCATCAATTGCCTCCAGTGGGCAGTGACCAGATCTGCACCACACTATCTCACCTGTCATCCTGCTGCCCCTATGCTGCCCAATCCAACTCCAAAGTCTAACACTATTCATCTAGGCCTTTCCTTCAGGTCCTGAGCCACTGTATCTCTCACCCTTTCCTCTCAGTTTGGTTTTCAATCCCCAAGCAACAGGCTAGTCTCTTCCCTTATTTCCACATAACCTTCAACCCTCTGGTTTTTCTGTGCAGAAGTCCCTTGGCCCCACCCCAGTTCACTTGTTGAGGTTTTATCGTGTCCTCAACAACACACACTGCCTCTGGCTAGTTTAGATCCTGTAAAGGTGAGGCCAAGAGCTGGGGCTCCCTTAATGTCTTCCTTGGGCAGCTGGGTTACCTCTGATCCTGCCCCGAGGAGCAGGACACCACCCGATTACCAAGATATATACAGTGGGGATATTTCAGTGTGTCTCCATATTACCAGGGCATTAGAAGTTGATGCAGGGAGATGAAAGAGTCAAGCTGGTAGGTAAGGGAAGATACTGTAACACTGTTGAGGTGCCCCAAAAGAGGGGTGGGGTTGAAGCAGCCCGTTGTCTGAGAACATCAGGTTTGGAAGTCCCTCCCCTATAATCTGGCCTACCCCAGCCCAAAGCTTCAGCTCCAAACCATGCTGAGAGTGGAAAGCATTGACAGCAGCAAAGCCCAAAGAGTTGAGAAAGTGGGGTAACCAGCACAGGAAGGCTCAATACCATTGGCAATATGGCTATTGCCCCCAGGGTGGATTATATCACTCAATGTCTTTTTTAACTTTTCGTAGCAGGCAAAATAGAGGGCATGGGCAGGCCCTGCGCCTGTTGCTGTGACGTTTAGCCCCCGCATGGGTCTCCACAGGCCCTCCGTTCTTATAATCCTCCAGAGTGCCTCCAACACATTTCGATAGCGGGCGGCTGGGTCAGGCTGTAGGCTCTGCATCCGGGTCTGAAATTACAGAAAGAAGTGCAATGTCAGCAATGCCAACTTCTCTTTCAGCTTCCCAACTCTAGCACTCAGGCCTGGAGCACTCCTATGTGGAATCATGCCAATGTGCAGGAGTGATACCTGGCATCCAGTTTTACTTCCAAATCTATGTCCAATCTTTCCAAGGCTTGGGCCTTTTGCTAGTCATCTCCGAAGTCAACACCATTCTTGTCTCCAGAATATAATTGCTTAGGAAGTGTCCTTGAACTCTGAAATGATTCATAGCCCCAGCAACAAATATCAAGCCTGTGTTTCAGGAGAAGTTGCTTTTGTACCTTAATAAACTCAGCCTACAAGTTTACAAATGGATTCTAAAGTGAACTATTTACTGTCTACAACATTATGCATTATTTCTAAAGGCTGATCCTGGGCCTGCTTCCTGACCACACACTACATCGACTAATGAAATGGCTCATCCTTTATTACATCCCTGATGATTATCTGACTTTCTTGGATTATGTGACGTTGGCAGCTGGGCCTGTAGGTTATACTCTTGGCAGAGGTAGCATTTGTAATCAATGCTGCTCTAATTTCCTGGGAAAGAGCATTTGCCCTGAAACTATGAAAGGTGGAAACTAACCTAGTCTCTAAAACTGTAGGGGCTCCCAGATGTCTAATCTAAACTGAATGAATTCCAAAACTGGCATCAAATAAAATCAGTCTCCGTGAAACAGAATCCATGGAATTTCCAGAGGATTCAATGATCGAGACAAAAGTACAAGGCAGACACTTTGTATAATGTTCCTGGACAAAGTCTGACTGGAATTTGGGGATGAATCTTGTTTTTAAAAATTTTTAATGTTTATTTAGTTTTGAGAGAGACACAGAGTGTGAGCAGGGGAGGGTCAAAGAGAGAGGGACACAGAATCTGAAGCAGGCTCCAGGCTCTGAGCTGTCAGCACAGAGCTCGATGCAGGGCTTGAACCCACAAACTGTGAGATCACGACCTGAGCTGAAGTTGGCCGCTTAACCAGCTGAGCCACCCAGGTGCCCTGGGAATGAATCTTTTTGAAACATTCTGCAAATCGCAGACCCTCAGAGGAAGGCGTGTCTTCCAATGAAAAACTCTTGTCTATTGATCCATTTCAAGATTAAGATTAAGGAAGCATGGGGGCGCCTGGGTGGCTTAGTCGGTTAAGCATCCGACTTTCGCTTAGGTCATGATCTCGCAGTTTGTGGGTTCGGGCCCCGCGTCGGGCTCTGTGCTGACTGGCAGCTCAGAGCCTGGAGCCTGTTTCAGTCTGTGACTCCCTCTCTCTCTCTGACCCTCCCCTGCTCACGCTGTCTCTCTCTCTCTCCTAGAAATAAATAAAACATTTAAAAAAAAAAAAAGATTAAGGAAGCATGGAGACTAACAATATAAAATCAATGTCTAGTGGCTGGAACAAAGTAAGCACTCAAGATTTGTTTGTTGAATGAATGAATAAAAGAACAAATGAATCTTAGCTGTGTCTGTACCAGTTCACAAAGTAAGAAGCAGACTATTAATGAGCCAGAAGGACAATTTATGTCCAAGTATAGTTTAAATTCCTACTTCATTCCAATTATTGGTTCAGTCTGGATTTAAAAGCTTGAACCTTCCTTTTGACCATCTGCAATCCAAAAGTATTGCCTCTTGTCAAGAGCATGGAGGGAAAAAAACTAACCAGATTAACAGGTCCTGGTTAGCTGTAAGCAATCCACATTCCTCTAGTTAATTTCTCTTGTCTGCTACCAACAAAGAACTGGAAAGTTAAAAGGTTAATTACTGTAACTTCAATCAGAAATAGTTACCACTTACTACAATTTGACACATTCATTCTACTTCACACATACACACAAAGCATAAAGTTCCAATAAAGCATGTGCTTACAGATCTCTCCTATCACCCACAGGGTATAAAATCCATAAGAAGAGTTATTCAGTGACTACAGTTCTTTGCTGGCTATGGCTGCTGATAAAGATAAACTGATCCTGGTGGCTTAACAATTATGTTTCCATTGGTTTGTTCAAAACTGTTCTTGCATAGGGAGCATGTTCAGAAATTGTATTGCTCTGCTGAAGTCTGTGGCATTATTTGGAAAACCAGCCTTGAAAGATCTCGCCTCAGAGATGTGGAATGTTTCACCCCCAAGAGAAACCTGGACTATAAATTACTTTGAACATATTATACACACCTCTAAAGCTAATTCACAATTCTACTTCATTCTTATGGAGAAGAACCAAGCATAAGCTATGCCAAATATAAAAATGAATACACCTCCCCAAATTTGGGGGCCAATAAATCTTTCTTTTGGAGAAAGATGAAATCTCTAAGAGTTTATGAATAGCCTTTAATATAAAAAACCACTAGCTTTGAAGAAAAGGCCAAATGAACTAAGAGAGGTAAGTAGTTTGCCAAAAGACAAGCCACATTTGAGTCAGAAAGCCTGACTATGATCCCCAGCTTTGCTAGATGTGTGGCCTTGGGTATGTCACTTAACCTGAGATTCAGTGTTGTCATCTACAACATGAGATTAAGATTGGCTCATGGAGCTATTTTGGGGTTCAAAGAGTTACGACACGTAAAAGCCATTGGTAATTTATGAAGTGCTACAAATATAAGGCTTTTTATTGTATTCAAACACAACTCTAGGAAATATTTGTTTATATCTTAGAATGTATAGATCATGGGAGTGTTGTCTCTTGCATATGTCATTTCACAAATATGCATGAGCACCCAACTGGTCCTTAGCCACTAACAAATCAGGTTAAATTTTTGTATTTTTTGTTTTCACTTTTTTTAAAATATTTATTTTTGAGAGAGACAGAGAGTGAGTGGGGAGCGGCAGAGAGAGAGGGAGACAGAGAATCCCAAGGTGGCTCCGTGCTGCCAGTGCAGAGCCTGATGTGGGGTTCAAACTCACAAACTGTAAGATCATGACTTGAATCAAGGCGCTTAACCAACTGAGCCACCCAGGCGCCTGTTTCACTTTAAAGTTTCTCTGTGGCTACAATGACTTTTTACGTCCAGCTATTAATCTGAAGTTCACATTTAGGACCGAGCACTATTGTGAAACTCTGTGCCTTGCTTGGCTTTGGAACTCTACCTTTGGGAGGCTGGATGGAAGGCCTGAGAGCCTGACTGAGGTCAAATCATGACTGTCTCACTTGTTTCTTTTTCTTTTTGTGTAAAATAATGAAAATGGTGTGTACTTCATGAAAACGCCTCAAGGATTAAATGAATAAATGCATGTAAGGCACATCAGTTAGTGTTTGGCAAACAAGAACAACTGACATTTACTGAATAATAATAATTATCATTAGACACAAGAAAGTCAAATAAGCCAACGTTTCAATTTCCTAATCTTTCGTTGGTGAATGTGTATAGATAACCATTTACATCTGGAGTTTGGCAAAGATTTATTTCCTTTTGTACATGACAGAGCCTAACAGCAGTACCTTGGTGACAGGTGGGTAGTTAGCCAGATGATTTTGAGAAGAGTTCTGACTGTGTTGGTTGTACAGCCTGTCCCTATAGATAAAGTCTGATGTTTGCCTCTGAGGCCCAGAAATGGAAAACTGGGATGTGTTTGGGCTCCCAAACCTCCCTATTATGATCATGTAAATAGCTGGCTGAGTAACTTTGGCCTGGCAAGGTTATGCTAGGTTCCTCCCAAGGATATTTTAAATCAACTTGACCCTGATAAGTGGCTAGAAGCACAGGCTTGCATGCCAAGCGGCAATGTCAACTTTCATTTGCAAACACTGTGTTTGCTGTTTTGGCTCCAACACAGATACCTGCGTCTAGTCTTAGGGATGGTCGGGCTGCTCTTCTTCTCCACCACCATTTGTGGTAGAAGAGGAACTGGGAAGGCCTTTCTGAAGGAAGAGATTTGAATTTTACTTTCATGTCTGCACAACATTTAACATCCCAGTGACACATATCCTATTGGTCTCACCTTGTTATTCTCTCTTGTCATTTAAATCCCAGCATTAATGGCAAATGAAAATGATACTTCCAAAATAAGCTTTTGTATTTTTGAAGACTCTTGAGCATTTATTCCCTCCAGATCGAATAATTATTTCTTTAATATAGGTCTTTGAGGCATGACTATAAGGTTGCAGGACTAATTTTTTTAAAAACAAAAATGTCAAAGCTGATGTAAATGAGTAAGAATTGCTCTTCAAAATAGCTTGGAAGGCTAGAAGTAACTTATTCCACCAATGCTGTAATGATGCAAAATATTTCTGGAACTCCTCTTTCAGAAGTGTTTCCTCAGTGGGTTTGTCAGCCTCAAGAATAAGTCAGGCTCCTTGCTTTCTGCTCCTACCTTCTCTTTGACTCCAATCAGTATTACCCATTTTGATCTCCCACCTTATCTGTCATTTTTGATTCTGAATGGTCTGTTACTAAAAAGTCAACCCCATCTTGTCACAGGACAAAGTTCTACCCTCTTTAAGGATATGCACCCAGATATTCTAGAGACATTTCTAACAGAGAAATTTAGAAAATGTTTACAGCAACAATAGCATTACATAAATACATGGCATAAGGAGACAGCCTCCCAAGGTAATAGGACAACACTTCAGTTGATAAGTTACAGTAATATTCCTAAGTCAATCACATTATTACATTGTGTTTTTCAAGTCATTAAATAATTTTCATTGCTTTCCTTGATCTAGTTTTCATTTGATACCCATCCTGAAACATAGCACCCTAGACCCTGCTAGACCCTGCTCTCTACTCAGTCTTTGTGAGGTTACTTTACTTTGCAGTTAGAGCATACTAACTTTTGGATATACAGCATTAACAACTCACAGTCATTCGACCTATACTTTATTACATAAATGTCTGAATCTTTTTTATTTGTACTTGCCCATTTTACATTTTAATACTGTCAGCATTAACCATCCTCTTACTTCTCTTGCATAGATTTTACTTTTTATTTCTATTCCTCCCAATTGACAAGGGTATTTAAAGTTCTAATATCCATTTTAACCAAGTGCATTTACCAGTTTCAATAGGGATGGCCACTGGTAGGAGTTGCCTTGCAATGTGCTAGAAAACTATCAACTCAACGTCATTCATAAAGCTCAGTGAGCACTTTCCCCATTTCCTCATCCACACTACTGAGAACATGTGACAGTACCAGCACCGGGGACAAGCAGAAGAGATAGACTTTTTATTTCCCAACTCAATACTCTCTCCTTTTGAATATGTAACATTTGCCAAATTTGAGGAGAAAACACACATCAAAGAGCTGTGAGAATACTGTTTGACTATTACCCCTAATATATATGTAAAGGAGGCACCACTGTTTCTCAATATGTTTATTTCAACAGCCTGCATGAATGTACTTCTCATTCAATTTAGTCCCCTCTTTTAGAGGTTGGTACCTTTGCTAACACACGACTAACCGTAAAACACAATCTGTTCCCTCTTCACCTCGCTTTCTTCAGAAGCACCTGACTTCTGTACCCAATAATCAGTCTGCTTGGCTCTGGTTGCCATTAGTTTTTACTTTCACAGGAATCATGCCTTCGTGTTGATCCTATTTCATTTTCTTCACACTTACATCTACTTTTCAAAATCATCATGCTTCCCTTCTAGGCAACTTTCCCCTTTTTGTCAACTTCAGGTGACTAAATAAATACACTGTCAGGTTCATCTCTCGTTTGGGGGCCGATGTGCTCCCTGCACTTACAAAATCCTAATCCCAGTTTAGTTTTCTCGTTCAGGAAATAGGTGGGGTGTCATGCCTGCTGCACAGAGAAACCGAAACCTCTTCCTGAACATGGGTTTTCCCAAATCATTTCCAGTCTGTAACTATGAATTCTGACTGCACAATGATTTCCAATCATTCATGGGTTAAGATTTAATAAGTAGATCATTTATCTAGCCCAGACGTTTCAGATTTCCGTTCTTGTCCCAACACTTCTAAGGGGAAGACACAGCAAGTTTCTTGTAAAAGCACTAGCCCAGAGAGCATCCCAAACCATTAAGATCCTATAGGGGGTCTGATTCACCCCAGTTGGCTTCACCTTAATAAAATTAGCACTTACCTGTTCCATCCCATCCCACCCTATTCCTGTTTAGTCCCGGCTAGGATCCAGACTTTGGCTGACAGACTTTCTTTCCACAGTCCCGATTCAGATCTCACTGACAGTTAGAAATAGGTCCTGTTTCCTGACTGGGTTCAATTCCCAGCCGGGACCTTGCTTGCATGGAGTATCGGTCGAATCGTGTGGTGGTGGCAGGAGCCAGGACGAAACCCATGTCGGCTCCGGCTCTCGGCCAGGATCCTGGCTCGGGACAGGACCAAGGGGTCGGGTCAGCCCCAGGTCGGATTCAGAGCCGGTCCAGGTCTCACCTTGACGCAATCGATGGGATACATCACGCAGTGCTCCAGGATCCCTGCCACGGCGCCCGCCACCATGTGCGTGGTGACAGTGGCTCCAGCCGGCAGCGCCTCGTAGTCCGGGCCGGAGTCCGGATCCTGCCGTACCGGGGGCCTGCAAGCCCCGGCCTCCCCGCCGCCGGCCCCCCGGCCCACGCCCCGCTGCAGCCACCCGTCCAGCAGCGCCGACTCCCCGGGGCTCCGCCCCGGCCCAGCTGCCGGCCCCCCCGCCACACCGCCAGCACCCCGCCCCTCCAACTCCATCCACCCGGGCCAGCTGCGGCGCCCACCCTCGCCGCCGCTGCCGCCACCGCCCTCCGGCCCCGTCTCGTCCGCCTCAGGCGCGGCCCAGAGAGCCCGGGGCCTCCGGCTCCCGCTTGGCCCGCGGACACGCCCTTCAAGCAGCCATTGGTGCAGCCGCCAAGTTAGCCCCGCCCTTTTGCTTACGTAGGAAAAAAATGTGTGCGGTATTAGAGAAGTTGCCTGTCATTCCTCCGTCCGTGGCGTTGCTGCTGCTTAGGTCCCACCTCTTCCCCTTTGATCTTGGAAGCTTCTTGTTTATTGGCTATTGATTGGCCAACATGTAAAATCAGCCCGCCCTTCGACTTTTCTGGAGGGCGGGAGAAACTTAAGGCCGAACTTTGATAGGCTCAAGCACTCTTGATACTTTGACCGCGGCCATTGGCCCTCATCACGTCGGGATCTGATTGGCTACCGGAAAGGAGCGCAGAGCCCAGGGGCGAGAGAGGACACATTTGGGCCCCAGACTGGCGCCTGTGGAGTTGCGGGCGGTACCGTCTGGGATGCTTGGGGCGCAGCGCCAGGCCTTCAAGGTCAAACCGCTGACAGATGCCGTTAGGACTTGCGTTCGAGCGACCGCCCCAAATCCTGGACTCGCGGGTCGCGTGCGGGCAGCCCTGGCCCGAGAGCTTTGTTCCCGCGGGATCTTGGGCCGGCGTGAGGTGGAGCCGGTTTGAGCTGGGTATCCCCTGGCGCGGCCCGCGGGCCGTTCTGGGAAGCTCTTGCGACACGCGGGCGGCGGCCCGTTAGGCTCTGGTCAGATCTGGAGCGATGTTCCCCTGCCCCGTGCAGCGCGCGAGCCGACTTCCGAAGGCCCTGTGCTCCTTGGGCCCCACCGCGCCTCACCAGGCTTGCACCTGAAATCGCCCTGTAAACCCCGCAGTTGTTGAATGAATGAGTTCTCCGGGGCCCGCTGTCGCTGGGTCCTGCGCCGGGCCGAGAGCTGGAGGCAGGGAAGAGATGTCGAAATGGGGCGGGATAATTCAGAGGTGACGACAGGCGGAGAGGCCGGTCTGGGGGCAGCTGCCGCAACGGCACAGAAAGTACGGCGACTGTGGAGAAGATCAGACGTACAGCTTTCCCCTAAGCTAACGCACTGATGACCTCCACTGCCTCGTGGTGATTGCCTTTGGTGATGAGGCCGATCTCCCTCCCAGCGTTAGAGAGGGGCGCCCTCCGGTTAAAGGACAACGCCGGCAGGCCACAGCCTCGAGCACCACCCTCTGGGCGACGCTGTCGCGCGGCAGCTAGCTCCACGAGGGCTGCAGGCTCCCCTGAGGAACGCAGGAGCTTTCCCCGCTCCTCCGCCTGCCCTGCCTCACTATCCCTTCTCTGGAGCGTGTTTGTAGAAGCCTCCCACTGTTTACATCTCGGTCTTTACTACCTGTTTTACCGAGAAGACGATGGAGTTGTGAACTTTCCCATCTGGTTATAGCGCTTCTTTAAGGAAGAGGTTTTCATGTTTTTCTCTGAAGCTAGCCCTTCTCTGGACCTCTGGGAGTTTTTGTTTTTAACTTCGTTTTACTCACCTATTCTCTCTCAGCAGTGGTTATTAACCTTAGGGGTCTCGACCTTTTTGAAAATAATGACGTGACATCTCCCCTTCGCTTCTCACTCCCCATGCACACACCTAGGGGTCCATGAACTTCAGGTTAAACACTCCTCCCATACATCTTTTCCCTTCTCTAGCTGACTTCCCTTGAGAATGAATAGGACTCTCAAAAAGAAAACCACTCAATCCTGGTAGAGTACTAATTCTCTTTACTGCCAAACTACTCCAGTAATGAGTTATACCTGCTTTGTCCTTTTTCTCTTTAAGCCCTACGTCTTTACTCCTTTATTCAGGGGTCACAAATGATCTTTCCAAATGCACTGGTCTTCTTCTTATTCCCTCTTGGCCCCACTGACCCGTCCCTCACTGATTTTTTTTCCTCATCAGGAACCACTTTATTCTATGTTTTAGACCTCTCAGTCTCTAACACTTTTCTACCGACTGAGATAGAACATTTCTAAAGGTTTGATGCTTCTTGATCTTGACTACATTAGAGAACCTTACCATTACAAATCTCCTTTTCTCATTGGACCTATATTTCCCTCATTGCATACCTCTTAACTAAAATTTCCATGTGAAATCAGTAAATATTTATTGAGTACCAGCTCTGTACTTGAAGCTGGTGCTCCAGGTCACAGTCCATAGAGTTCTCATGGAGCTTACTTTTTTTTTTTTTAAATGTTCATGTATTTTTGAGAGAGAGTGTGAGCGGGGGCAGGGCAGAGAGAGGCAGATACAGAATCTGAAGCAGGCTTATCTCTGAGCTGTCAGCACAGACTCTGATGCAGGGCTTGAACCCATGGGCCTTGGGATCATGACCTGAGCCGAAGTCAGATGCTCAACTGACTGAGCCACCCAGGCGCCCCTCATGGAGCTTACTTTTTAATGAGTGGAGGGTGACAGACAAAAATACCAATTCTAGGTACTATTTGGATTACTGAAAGAGGGAGGTGTGATAAAGTGTGACTAGGTGGCTACATTTGTTGGACTGGGAAAGGCCTTTCTGAGGAGGTGACACCATGGTGAATTCTAAATGACAGGCAGGAGCTCATGACAAACCCAGAAAAGAGTATTCCAGAAGAAACAGTATGTACAACAACCCTACAGTGAGAACAAGGTTGGTGTATGAAGGAACAGAAAGTGAGTGTGGCTGGAACATGGTGAGGGAAAGTGGAGGTGACACAGGATGAGATTTGAAAGATAGGCAAAGGAACATGCACCTTAATATCTGACTTGGGATGCTCATTCCAAACTTAGCCCATTCCACTTCCCACCCACCCAATTCCTCCAAAATTTTTCTTTTCTAAAGCTGGAGGTCTTCTATGGCTACTCACCTATTCTCTCTCAGCAGTGGTTATTAACCTTAGGGGTCTCGACCTTTTTGAAAATAATGACGTGACATTAGAAATATTTTTGAAATGTTTGTGCTTTCCTTTTCCTTCCTATTGATTCATTTCCCCAGTATCTGATCCCTTCACATCTATACTGTAATAACCTTTCAATATCCTTGCTACCTCTGGGATTCCCTGGCTTTAGAGGCTTCATCTCTGGGATACCCATCCTTCCATGTACATGGTAAGGATTGTTCTTCCCACCTCCTTAAAGATAGGCATGGCCTATCCATGACCGTGGATTTGCTTTGACCAAAGAAATATGAGAGAAGCATTAGAGCCAAATAAGAACTTTCCCTACCACATGACTGTTGATGTTTAGAAGGCCCCATCAGCCTGGTTCCCTGGGTGAGGAGGGTGAAGCAAAGCCACCTGCTTGCTAGATGGGCTTTCAGCATGAGTAAGAATCTTTGACTTTAAAACCGATTTTAGGATTATTCCATACCATAGCATAATCTAGCCCAGTGCTGCTCAGACTTTACTTTGGTATTAGTCACCTGAAGAATTTGTTACATGGCAGATTATAATTCTCTAGTGGGGATGGGGATTCTTCATTTCTTAGAAGCCCCCAGGTGATGCTGATGCTGTCAGACCCTGGAGCAAACTTTGAATGACAAGCACCTAACCCATCCAGACTACCTCATGTCCCACCCTCAACATGTCTACACAAGCTGCCCTACACCTCACCAGCCCTTAAACTTCCCTAAAAAACAAAGTAGCAAGCAAAGAAATAACCTTGGAGATATTCTTTAGAAGGCCTCAATAGCTCCCATACCTGCAGCTCCTTAGTCAGACACTAGAATCTTTTTCTTATATTCCCAGGATAGTTGTTTTCCACATTCTGTATTCTGTACTTTTTATTTTTTACCTCTACCTATGAGACTATTCATTATCTCACTGTCAAGTCTCATCTATTTTCTTTAGTAATAGAAACCCCAAGTTTTAGCTTGGAGCTAAAAGTCCAGCTGAAGTCTGTATTTCCCCAGCTTCCCCTTCAGCTAGTGTTAGCTGTGTGACTAAGTTCTAGCTTGTGGGATGTGAGTGCAAGTGGCGTGAAACATCTGGGTTCTGCCTTTAATTTTTTTTAATGTTTTATTTATTTCAGAGAGAGACAGCGTGAGCAGGGGAGGGTCAAAGAGAGGGGGATACAGAATCCGAAGCAGCCTCCAGGCTCTGAGCTAGCTGTCAGCACAGAGCCCAACGCGGGGCTCAAACCCACGAACCATTAGATCGTGACCTGGGCTGAAGTTGGTCGCTTAAGCAACTGAGCCACCCAGGCGCCCCAGCTGCCACCCACTTTTGGCCACATGGACAAGGCCTGTAACTTACGTGGGCAGAGCAAAAGGTTGAATAAACCTGCTGCCTTTTGGGCAGTAATAGTAGTACCTTTCGCTAATCATCACATTCTAGTACATGAGAGAACTTGCTTAAGTGGTTGCCGTTAGTTTGAATCTTTGTTTACAGCAACAGGTTTATATCCTGATATATGTTCATCCCTAGAATGCATTTCACCCTTTGTTTCTTATCAGAATTCTCATTCTTGAAGGTCCAAAACAATTCCCACTACTTCCAGCTTACAATATCCTCTTTCTCTGAACTGCCATCCCACATGACCATATGAGGTATAATACAGAATGAGATGGATTCCAGCAGCCACCCATGAAAATACGACTTCTTTACAGTTACTTAAAGAGAAATAGATTCCTAAATTATGAAGAGTAGACCATGAAAGCTGTAGGGATTCAGAGATGGGGCAATCATTGAGGACAGAAGGGATAAGAAGATGTGTGTGTAAGCAGTTTGAAACAGGAAGATGTTCTAAGGGGTGTGTGGGGAACAGTTTCAAGGGAATAAATTCATTATTCCTTGTTTTCTGCATCTTTCCTAAAATCCACCTTTCTGAGAAAGCAATTGAGGCAGTGCTCAATTTCTTAGTTAGTCTGTCCTCCCACCTTACAAAAGGAAAGTGTACCTTCACCTGTCCTTCATCTTGGTATAGTTCATTGCCCTGGTATGTACAAACCTCCAGGTAGCTAAGCCACCAGGTAGTCCCAGTGCTAGCAAGGCCTCCTTCCATCAAGGTACAACTGTAGATTTCATCTTCCTCTGTCTGACGTCTATTTCCATTAGGGCAAAACATGTCTTTAAGAATGGATACTTTGGTCCTTGTGGATATTTGGGGTATATATGTATTGTACAGTGGCATAATGGGTTTTTAATTTAACCACAACCTATTATCAAAGAATACATTCTTTCTGAGGGAGATTCTATTTAGAATAAAGCAAAAAGAGCATAATTAAATGTTAAAGGTGGTGGTGCCTTATTTCACTCAGCTGACATATCATGGCAAGCTCTGTTTCTTATCTATCTTGGGACAAGGATATCCAAGATTTATGAAAATGTGTGCTGGGAAGAAATGATGTGTTAAAAATATAGTACAATGTTCCCTCTCTGGTCAGAAGCAAGAAAGCTGAGTGATGCTCTTCATTTATCATGTCCCAACTTTGGTCTCAGTTTTACATTT